AAAAAATGTGAAAAGTTTACAGACGGACGGACAGACAGACGGACAGACGGACGACGGACAAAATGTGATCAGAAAAACTCACTTGAGCTTTCAGCTCAGGTGAGCTAAAAATGCATATTTATGTCATTCTGAAATTAAATATGAAAACAAAGATTTTTTTTTAATTTGTTACAAAGATTTATAAACAGAAAAAAAAAAATTGTGTAATCTTGATTCAACATTTTTAATAATGTTCCTGCATTACTCTTAGATTTGTAGGGGCTATCTACCATAATTAAAGCATTTTCTTTTAAATACTTGATTTTTTTTAGATTTAATGTCAGACTGGTTTTAAGCTGCAATTCATTCCAATCCCCCCCCCCCCCCCAGTATAATTAGTTTTAATTATATTATACAATATCTAATTAGTTTATCATACAATATCAAATTAATTTATTATACAATATCAAAACGTTTTAATTACTTTTCACCAAATTCATTTTAAAAGTTAAGCTAGCCAAATATTTAATCCAACACGGCTGATTCTTTTTGCCCAGTTCCCAAGAGATAAAGATAACACCTGCTTGATCAGAGATGCTCTACCAGTTAGCTCCTCACACTAAACTCATTAATTTCTCTCTAATTTGACATGCAATTTTCTGTTATCAAATTCTCCTTGACCAGTCAGTGTTTTCAATAAGAGCCGGCAACCGGCAAAATTAACCGCCTGTACGAGAAATTTTGCCGGCTATGAGATATCCGTCTTTGGAATTTTTCCGGGGTTGGTACCTGAAATCCATAGATTTTATCGCAACTATCTACATGATCTAGAGTAACTTCCCTTGAGTGCACTCTTTTTCATGGAAGTTTTAATTGGTCCAAATCTATGCTACAAAGTGCGAGACGCTGAGAGTAAAGTTTAAAGAATATATTTTTAATTAATAATTCCAACCTCATAAAAAATTCACAAATCAACAATCGCGATTATTACTTAAGCTTCAAAAATATGACCAAAATTGGCACGAGATTATTGAGAATTGTAGACTTCATTGGCACAAGCGTCAGGTATCTACAGCCAACAATAGGAAAATGTTTTTAACATTCACTGTCACTCCACAAGCTAGGTCAAGATTAAAATATCAAACACAACAGCAAATATTTATATCTAGACCAATATAATTTTAAGACCTTACGAGTGAAAATCACATATTTTTAGTCGTGACTGAGACGTTTGAATTCTTACAGAAATTCCTCAAACTGGAAATGTAAAATTTGTATTCTCGATTATTTGTGTTAGATCTCTTGAAATACAGTAACAGTATTACTTTGCCCATTGAAGAAGATTTTTATGAAGTAGAAATTTGTATCCATTTTCTTTATTATTTTGCACTGTACAAAATAGTGAAGCATTTAAAAGTTTGTGATAGTTTAGTCCAAGATTCCAGAATATTTTCAGAACAAGAATATTTTTATTTAATTTTTGGTAATGTACCAAAGGTGTCTTAAAGTTCTTAGAATTATAAATAAATTATTTTAATTTTGAATAAACATCCTGACCACTTTATGTGAAAGGGACTAATTATGTAGCATTTTCAGTATGAATTTCTAGCACAGACAATTGTCTGTGCAAGAATTTCATACGTAAGTTGTCTTAATGTTTTATAGACACCTAGTATTCAGAACAAAAACCTCAGTCTGTCAAAAGTCCATATAACAAATCAGCGAAAGGATAAAAACAGTTTTTATATGGCTTTATTAGATTAAATTATGTAATGGATAGGACAGAAATGTGACAAAATATGGTACTTTTGTTGGCCTGAGAGGTAAGAAGAATGAGTCAAAAATGCCAATTTTCATTTTCGGGCGGGGGGCTTCGTCCCCCTGGGCCCCCTACCAGGGCTCTGCCCTGGACCCGCTGGGGGCCTGAGGTGGCCCCCATACCCCTCGACGAGATTGGTTTCCTGCTGTTCCAAATATATTTCCTCCTATTGAAAATCTTATTGAAAACACTGCCAGTGCTTGATAATTACACCCCTGGGAGAGATGGAATTTCTCTTGTAACATTACATTTGTTATAGATTGCTGTAAAGTATATAATGAAAAAAATAAATATTTTCTTGATTTAACATTTTTTTTATAAGGATACTGCAACACTCTTGCATTTTTGGGGATTGTGTAATCTATGGTAAAAAGAGAGTTTTTTTTAATTTCACTTAAATTAAAGGTCACAGTGACCTTGAAATAGGTCGCGACACACCTTCTACCTAAGATGCATAAATTGGCCAAGTTTGATGATTCTAAGTCCAATAGTTTTCTAGTTATGAGCCATTTTTCCATATTTGGCCATAGCACTTTAATTAAAGGTCAGAGCGACCTACTTTTAGTGCGCGGCACACCTTCTACTCAAGAAGTATCAGCTGACAAAGTTTGATAATCCTAGGCCTAATACAGTGCGGTCTCGTTATTACGATGTTCATTTTGTCACGGGAAAATATCGTAATACCGAGGGCAACGTAATAAAAGTTCCCAATAAAATCCATTAAAACATCGTTTTGAAAGTTTGTTATTTTTGTGGAAGGTGTATTTTTGACTTTTGTTCCCTTCTTCTGTTCTAATTCTTAATCAAAATGCTAATACATATATAATTTATTAACAACTTATCTTGAATAGATATCTTCATGGTGATATTTCTTCTATTTCTTTCATTTTAAAAGAAATACGTATATTTCTTATAAAAACTTCGGTGATCTATCGGATCTTCATTTATCTACCGCCATTTCCTTACTTTTACTTTCGTTTCTGACTCTCTAGATAATGCATTCATAAAAAAATTCAACAAGCCGTCTTCGTATTCAATTTATAGTCGTTTACTACATAACAACAACAATTTTTAGTGAGCTTTTGGGTGTTCAATGAGCTTAGAGCAGCAGTGAACAACTGATGAAAGAGTGTGACTGGCATATTTAAGGACGGAATTTGACAACGTACAAGCTATATGTCAAAATAAATTTAATTGTTTAAATTACTGAACAGAGTTCAATTAGCAGTTCAGCAATTATCGATTTGAATTTCTGCTGACACCTGTGAGGTAGTCCAAGCCACAATCCAAGCTGTTAAAATGTAAGTGAAGTTCAAATTTGGCCAAAATTATGTTTGATACCCAAGCTGTCCATTACCGCAGTTTAATTGCAAACGAAATTACACAATACGTGTTTAACATACATGCACAAGATTAAATGTAACCTTTTATTTAATAAATTAATTTTATCTTTTAACCAAAGTATAAAAGATAAAATAAACTTTACAGACATAGATAAACTAGAGACTACATTTATAAATAAACAGTTTAAATTTAATTGTTTAACAATGGCTTTGACACGATGTCTCCAGTTCTGCTGACCTCGCTAGAACAGTCAAGGTGTGTGCAGTCAAGCGTCACTAATCACCTAACGGGTCTGTAGGTTAACACTCTGTCAGAAAACAGGTGTTTCAATGTTTATTTAGTGTCTCCATAAGTGTCTACCGTCGATCAGCACTGAATAAACACGGAGTGAAAAAAATTTTGGACAGAATTTTTACATCGTAATACCGAGTCCCGGCATTTTAGGACATCGTAATAAACAGTCCTATTTTGTATAGATTTGTTAAGAAATGGTTTTGTGCTTTGAATTTACAACGTAATAAGCGTTCTATCTTATAAAACCGTCACTGTAATAACGAGACCGCACTGTAGTATTAAAGTTATGAGCCGGATACGAGAAAAGCTAACAGACAGACAGACAGACGGACATGAACGCAATAACATAATACATCCCGTCTAATGACGGGCATATAAAAATGCATGCAATAGTTAGTATTAAAGTAGTTTAAAGCTATCCAGCAGTTTAAAATAGCAAATCATTTCATTTTGTGGTATTTTGAAGAACTTATATATTTGTGTGATGTCATAGTAAGCATTTCCCAAATAAATTAGGCCCTGCCTCCTTACTGCAGCCTTAACTGTGCTGCGTAGACAGATGGATAGACAACAGGTAATCAAAAAAAAACTCGTTTGAGCTTTCAGCTAAGGTGAGCTAAAAAGGCCCATAGACCACACTGCTCACTAGTCAGTTGGCCAGACCGTTCTGCATCATATTTTTTCCCCAGTATACGTTTTCCTATGTAAAATTTTGATAGACTTTCGTGGTCCCTATATAGAGTAGGGATGGGTATCGGCAAAAATTTCGTATCGTGATATATCACGATTTTTCCCCAAAAATATCATGATAAATCGTGATATTTTTACACACAATTTTTAATTCAATTTCAAATGAATTTCCATAATATTTCCTAAAAATATGCTGTAAAAACATAACTTTACTTTTTAAATTTTTCTTTATTTAATATAAAGCTTGTTTGAATGCCGTTGTTTTACTGTTTTCAACATTTTTTACACTTCCTGTAATTTTCATTCAATAGTTTCAACAAATAAATGAATAATTTCCAGAATTTATAGTTATGTACCAAATACCAATATTTTAGTCTCCATATCGCAATACGTATCACGCAATAAAAAATCGAGATATACCGGTATACCGATAAAATCGCTCATCCCTAATATAGAGGGGCCTTGATTTGAACAAAAATGACTCTATACTACCAAAGGATGCTTCCACATTAATATGATTCAACATAGCCTTGCTACAAAATCGGATCAGTCAGGATTAAATTATCATTATCTTAATTAAAATAACAAGAAATGCAATAGAGGTGTGATGAAATTGATAGATGGCAAAACTCCTGAAATTCAAGATTTTGATTCCCCTTTCCCCATAGATAAGTATATACAAAAATTGGTTCAAGAGAAGAAGATTAAAAAAAATTCAAAACTATACAAATGATGCACAACAAAAGATGATGGATCATGAAAACAGAAAACAACAAGTCACCTGGGGACTCAGGTGACCTAAAAACATCATTTTCAATGAATTTACTAATGGATAATATTTTTGTCCGATTCTGCAACACTAATGTTAACTGACCTGGTCGATTTAGCACAACGTAGAAGTCCATTCCATAAATTCCAATGGAAGGGTCATATTTGATTCCTAAGTCAATGTGCTCCTGGATACCAAACCCAAAGTTTCCTGTCTCTGAAAAGTTGACTTTTTTCAACTCATATTCTCTAACCTGCAAAATAAACAAAGTTTACTGATATACCAATATTTATTTCATTAAACATTTGTTCTGGTAGTGTGCATCCCTAGATGCAACATCCATGCAAGTTTGGACAAGGCAAGACTTAAAAAAAATTACTTAGGAATGGACCTGATTTTCTCTTACGAGTTCAGCCAAAAGTATGTAGACATATATATGAAAAAAAAACTTTTATAAAAAGCATTAAATACACTTTAAGCTTCTGTAAATTGTACAACTGTTTAAATAGAAACAATGGAATTACTTTCATAATGAAAAGTTATTTCTTCTCTAATTAAATGATTATAAAAGTTTAGCTCACAGGGGTACATCCTATGCTTTATTTTCCTACAAATAATAATAAACGATCACTTATTTTTATTTTTGGAAAAAAAATATAGTTTATGGGAAACTGAAAATAGTAAAATTAATAAAAAAACAAGAGGCCCAAGGGCCTTAGTAGCAACTGACATACATTAAATTCTAATTTATCCCCCATTTAGCACTATCACCATGCAGACTATTAACAAACTAATAGTTCCTCTGTTCTTCTTTTAACCCCACATTGTGACCTCTCACATTGGCATCTCTTGGTCTTTGAAGATCATTTAATAAATTATTTTTGTCTCATTTTTATCTATTTATTATTTGTCTATCTGATCATTAAAACTCTGAAAGTACTTTTCGTATTATTCAATAAATTTTTTTGCATAATTCTCTTATTCTATTAACTTTCAAATACATTATTTACAGTGATTAATTATCAAAAGTAAATGGCCAAGGGTTCCGAATAACTTCTCTCAGTTGAATACAAATTAATAGAGCCCTGACTAGGACCAGAAAACTTGACCAAATGGTCCTGATGTTCAAAAATCTGGTAAAAATATCCTTGCTTATTAAAACTTTAATTCTATTTGCCTTCAATATGCCAAGGAGCAGAGAAGATTTTCAAAGAAATAATGCATTTTCACTACATGTACAGATTCAACACACCCCTACCCTAAAACTAAAACCCATGTCCCAGGGTCATGAATTCATAAATTTGGTGGAGGTACCCTCATCATCATAACTATGCAGATAGATTTTTTAATGACCACACCCAACTTTTGTCTTTTCTTATCTCCCCTTTGAAAGGGGCTTGACCCTTCATTTTAACAGTTTAAACTCCCCTTCACCCAACGATGCTTTGTACCAAGTTTAGTTAAAATTAGCCCAGTGGTTTTTGAGATGAAGTTGAAAATGTGATAAGTTTACAGACGGATGGACGGATGAACGACGGACATCGGGTGATCAGAAAAGCTCACTTGAGCTTTCAGCTCAGGTGAGCAAATAAAAACTTTAATCAGCATTGTCATTCTCTTCTAAAATTGATCAACCTTTATAAAGTATGCAAAGATTTAGCTGAGAAAGTTTTAAAAAGATAATGAGAGAGTCATAAAAAAATCTTGGCAATTAACAAAGATTTAAAATAATAATTAATTATTACAGGGATCGACATTAACGGTTGTCCGATTGCCTGGGACAAGTAAATTCTCAGTTCGGGCAAGTGAAATTGTTGACATACTTGTCCGATCGGGCAAGTGAATTTTTCTCATACAAATGTACATATTTATTTAGTTTACATTAATTTATAAATAAAACAATAAATTGAACACTTGATTTCCGCCACGCACCTGACTGACAATGTTTTGCATTTGAAATTCCTTGGTAGCGTTTCTGGATTATACCGTTCATATAAAAATCGAATTTGTTGTTTTCTTTCGTAGGAAATACACTCTACGTCTAACAAAATTTTGTTAACTTCTTATTATGAAATTATATTATTCACGCACAGAATATAAGTACAGTGTAACACGTTGTATCCTGATCAAGGTAAGATGTATGTTTCGTAGCAACTATCTTCCTTAAGCATTGCTTCACAGTTATCGCTGAAAATCACGAATCACAAAATGATCCTACCGCAATTAATTTTCAAATATATGATTTTTTTTTAAAGGAAACGGAGGGTTATTGCTGCATGGCAGTGTATGTTAACAGGTTAAATTTACAAGTACAGCGGTATACATTTATGTACAAATGCAGGATCGAAATTTTTTCAGGTACCCGGTAGCTCAACTTGCCAAATTGACAGTAGTGTATTTCGTCACATTTTTTCTTTTCATAACGTTTGCAGTAATTAATAATTTTCATCTTAAGTTCCATCCTAATTTTGGGCAACCAAGTTTTCCATTCGGACAAGTCAAAGTTTGAGATCACTTGCCCGAAGGGCAAGTGAATCTGAAAGTTAATGTCTATCCCTGTATTATTTGAAAACTTGTTAAATGTCTTTTGAAAACAAGGGTTGTTTGTGAAACACTTATGCCCCCTTCTTTCAAATAATTGGATTTTTTTTTTAAATTGGAAGTTGAAGGGGCATAACTCTGTCAAAAATTGTTCGATCATACCCAAAACAGATCTTGACCTAGATATTTCTATGATAAATCTGTATACTAAATTTCATTTCAGTAAGTGCAACCTCTACGAAAAAAAGATAAAATATCATATCAAACAATATCAATTTAGTCTTAACAACTTAATCTATATCATATTAAAATTAAAAATAAAAGGTTGGCCATCAAATGACATTTGCTATAAACTGACAAGCAGTTCTTCTGTCTAATTCCCAAAGGATACAGATAAGAGCTGCTTGATCAGAGATCCTCTAACAGAAATGATTGAGACAGCTAGCCTTCCTACACTGAACTCATTAATTAATCTTTAACTGGATGCATGTCCCCTCATTACTCCCAATGGATGAATGGATCTATACATACTATCTGCTTTGTAGTGCAACAAGAGGCCCAAGGGCCTTAACGGTCACCTGAGTATAATACAATTTAGAAGTTAAATACACTGAGAGATGAAGCTTTTTTGCCCTAAAGCAAGAGAAGTAGGAAGATCAGGATCAAAAAAATAATTAGTCTAGTATTCAGTATCAACTCATAACTTAAGTTCTAATCTGCCCCCCACTTAACACTATCACCATGCAGACTATTAACAAACTATTATTGCTTCTGTACTATTTTTAAACCCATATTAAGACCTCTAGCATTGACCTCTCTTATGGTCTTTGAAGAACTTTTAATAAGATAAGTTATTTTTGTCTCATTTTTATTTATCTATTACTTACAGGTCTACCTGATTATTAAAACTAAGAAAATACTTTTTGAATTATATGATAAACATTCTTGCATAATTATCTTATTCTATTTACCTTTCAAATACATTATTTACAGTGATTAATTATCAAAAGTGAACGGAAAAGGGGAATAACTTCTCTCAGTAGAATACAAATTAATAGAGCCCTGCCCAGGACTAGAATGCTTAGACAAATGGCCCAGATGTTCAAAAATCTGGTAGAAATACGCTTACTTATATCATTTAAAATTTTACTCAGTTTTCTTCCAATATGCCCAGAAGCAGAGAAGAATTTCACAGGTACAATGCATTTTCACTACAGATTCAACAAAGCCTTACCCTAACACCAGAACCCAAGACCAAGGGTCAAGAAATTTACAAATTTGGAAGAGTTACCCTCATCATCATAACTATGGACTGCGAAGAATTAACACTTTTCCACTATATTATCAAAAGCCCCTCCCCCCCCCCCCCCCCTCGTTATGCCAGAACCCCTGACCCTAGGACCACAAGATTTAAAAATTCTGTTCGAAGCTCCCATTTTCATCATAGCTAAGCAATTTATTTATCAGCTCAACGCTAAGGAGCAGACAGGATTAATTAATGATTAATTAATAGAATTAATGCTTTTTCACTATATAATCAATAGAGCCCCCCCCCTTCCTCAAGAACCCCAAAAACTGAAGCCACATATTTAAAAAAATTGGAAGAGGCATCCTTGCCTATCATAATCATGCACTTAGTTTGTTTAAATAATCTCCAGTAGCAGAGAAGAAGATTTTCAAAGAATCAATGCATTTTCACTATATAATCAATAAAGCCTCGTCCTAACACCAGAACCCTTGATCCTGGGGCCATGAAATTCACAATTTTTGAAGAGGCATCCTTATGCATCAAAACCATGCACTTAGTTTGTTTAAATAATCTCCAGTAGCAGAGAAGGAGATTTTCAAAGAATTATGGCATTTTCACTATGTAATCAACAGAGCCCCGCCCTAACACCAGAACCCCTGACCCTCGGGCCATGAAATTCAAAATTTTTGAAAAGGCACTTTTGCTCATCATAACTATGTACTTAGTTACTTTATTTAATACCCAGGAGCAGAGAAGAAGATTTTCAAAGAATTTATGCTTTTTGACAATATAATCTATAGAGCCCCGCCCTAACACCAGAACCCCTGACCCTGGGGCCATGAATTTCACAATTTTGGAAGAGGCTCTCTTGGTCATCATAACTATGTACTTAGTTACTTTATTCAATACCCAGGAGCAGAGAAGAAGATTTTCAAAGAATTAATGCACTTTCACTATATGATGTATATAGCCCCACCCTGGGGCCAGAACCCCTGACCCTGGGGCCATGAATTTCACAATTTTGGAATAGGCACTCTTGCTCTTCATAACTATGTACTTAGTTACTTTATTTAATACCCAGGAGCAGAGAAGAAGATTTTCAAAGAAATAATGCACTTTCACTATATGATCTATATAGCCCACCCTGGGGCCAGAATCCCTGACCCAGGGGCCATGAATTTCACAATTTCTGAAGAGGACTTCTTGCTCATCATAACTATGTACTTAGTTACTTTATTTAATACCCAGGAGCACAGAAGAAGATTTTCAAAGAATTAATGCATTTTCACTATATAATCAATAGAGCCCCGCCCTAACACCAGAACCCCTGACCCTGGGGCCATGAATTTCACAATTTTGGAAGAGGCTCTCTTGCTCTTCATAACTATGTACTTAGTTACTTTATTTAATACCCAGGAGCAGAGAAGAAGATTTTCAAAGAAATAATGCACTTTCACTGTATG